TTGGGATCAGAGTGGCGCATAGACCAGAATTCACAATCAGACAGCAAGCCCAAAGACCCGCTGCCGGCAATCGAAAAATCAGCCTAGGTCTACAACACACTCTGCAAAAATTGCAAGGCGAGTTATGTTGGTGAAACGGGCAAACGCCTGGGCAATCAACCGTAAGGACAAGCCGTCTTTGGTCTACGGTCACGTGCAACAGCTGAACCACGACTTCGCTTTTGAGAAAGCGAGGCTGATCGGCCAACGCAAAGATGACCAGACTAGCGCTCGAAAGTGGGTCCTCCACTGGTACAATTAACGTAGCTGTGGATTCGGACCTTGCCTACCAGGCGCTTCGCACAAGGCTCGGATTAACTTGAACGGGGCTAGTAGGACAAACTATCACGCAGCACCGAGAGCCTACACTCATGAAAAATGGGAATGATGGTCAGAGGTCACGTAACCAACATCAAACTCTTGATCATCGACGCACCATCGAAGCGAAGGGCAATTGCAGCGCACAGTAACGAGTGATTAGTCTGCCGGTTAAATTTGGGGTAGGCCAGCAAGCATGTTGACTCGCCTACAGCCACGCTGCCCGCAGGGAGGATAAGGGTCACGCAAGTCTGCCAGCAGCCAACCTCCCGGAGACCAAATGTAGTCGACAACGGGGGGAGGGCGGGTCAAATTTCGCGCCTCCAGCACGGGTATAATACGAAGCAGATGACAAGATTAGCCTACTCAAGTCCACGAGACGCAGCATCTATAATACTCTCTCGATGGAAGCGAGAGGGGATCAAATAAAATTTGGTCCACGAACCCGCCGCTCCCTCTTCTTCTACTCAGTAGGCAGGTGTGCTTATTTGGAGGTGCGTGTATGCGCGTGAATGAGCTAGCGACCACCATGCTTCGGTGGAACGCCTGTTAGTCAGCGGGATTGTCTCTGTCGTACGGATGCCGTTGGACAGGGGACACTGGCGCAACTGTTTTTGCTTGGCCAGATAAGAAGCACTGAAGTCAAGCCCCGGGGGACGGGAGTGTCTATGAAAGGAAGCATTGGAACAGTTGCCTGTGACGATGCGCTGCAGCGAGCATTGGAGAACGAAGGCCATCCGCTATACCTTCTCACCCATTTCTAAACGGAACAGTCGGAGTCCCATCCCTCTTCAGTCGGATCCCCACTCCGGGCTACAAGCTTTAGCGTCTCGAGCTTGTCCTAGTGACAAGAGTAGGTGATCGTTGATCTGCCATCACGTACCTGTGAGAGGTCCTTGTCAGGCCGTCTGTCAATTGAGTTATGCGCAAGGGGATGCGGGGGGCCTTTACCCGACGTGTGCTACATGCCGCATACAGCACCTGTCAGATCCAGCGTGACTCCTCGCAGGGACAGTGGCCACAGACCTTAATGGGGGCGTACAGTTGTCTTGTTGTCCCTCGAGAGTATGAACTCGAACTAACGCCACATGAATTCCAGAGTTAATTGTAAAAACAATGCTACTTACTGTCAATAGTACTTTTATAGTGACAATTTTAGGCATGCTGTACTAGGTTTGCTCTAAGACTTCCGCTTCTGCACACTTCTTGTCGTGTTCTCTCTTCCTCTCTGGGGGCTCACATGTGGCATTAGTCAGACGGGAAAATTGCAGCATTTTGGCCACCGTTATAACAATTTGGCGACGCAGCTCCTTCTTGGCCACTGTTACAACATAATCAATAAGTTTTCACCTCACCCCCACCAAATAAACTGAAAACATGGCCACCCAAGCAGGTCACGGAAATAGGAGCTCGCCGCACAAGCAAAACAGTTGGTCGTCGGATAGATTTCAGGGGAGGGGGTAAATGTTCCCGTGTGTTAAAACTTTAACTTAAACCCTACAGTTTATCCAAACCTTACAATAATCCGGACCCCAGTTTGGCGCAATTTGTGGACGGTTCTTGTTCCTGTGTCCCGTTTGGGCGCGTCCGCGCAATTCATCCCCAGCTCTTACTACTGACCTGCGTTTGAGTAGCCATCCGTTTGTGTCCCGTCTGCCCCTTTCTTTCTCAGTCTTAAATGTGTGTTTCATTCTTCATTGTAGGGGTCTTACGGATGAATCAGAGGTGCTCAAGTTTCTGCAAAACGGCACCCTAGTCGGTCTGCTCCCAGTACCGCATCCCATTCTTATCCGAAAGTATCAATCCAACTTTGGCACTGCCGTCTGGTTCCGCACCTACATTTGGGGCGTCATCTACCTGCGGTACGTACATTGCCCCGTCATCTGTCGCTGTCGTGCTCAACTTCCTCACCTCTTGCCTATTTTGCTTTCATTAAAACCTTATCCAGTGCACAAACGGGATTGACGTCAACACAGACGAACCTTTCTCTTTATGGTCAGTGGGGGGGGAAGGGAAGCAGACTAATCCGGTTCAGTTTTATTTAGGGAAAGATAGGCTTAGGCACAATGGCCAACAGATAAATATAAATGGCTACTCATTTATTGTGAGTAGTATAATCATATGCAATTGCAATAGCTGCTTATGTGGCTGTTCGACTATGATTATTGCATCAGCGTCTGGTTTTCTATGCTACAAAATCTACACCACTGTTGGTATTGACCCTTGAATGTTTTTTTTGTCTCCTTCACAGGAACCTCGATCCGCCCATCTGGTACGACACGAATGTCCGCCTGTTTGAAGTCCAGCCCATTTAGTTTGCGAGACAATGCAGGCCTTTCTGGTCTTTCCTCCTCTGGCTGTTCTCCTATTACTTTATTTGTCACTTTGCTGACCTCCGCCCCCACTGCCCACTACAACTGTCTTCGTCATTCCAGTATTTTTGCTCGCCTCGTCTGCGATTTCTTCATCCCCCACCTTGTCTAACTTTAACTGGAGTGCTCCTTTTCTGAACCGCGCATAACGTCTTCTTTGTAGTGCTGGGGGTGTTCTTTCTTCTGTTCTCTGCGATACAGTGTTTATATGCCAATAATATTTAGGAAAAACGCAAATTCCTCTACATTGAGGCCTCGGTAACGGAATAAGTCGTTGCGGCACCGTGCTCGGTATTAAAACCGCTTGCCTTGAGAAACTTTTGTCAATCAAGCTGCAGCAGTTCACTGATTGGCTGCAAGCGACCGAGTCCCTACGCCCTGGGAGAAAGACTGAGCAGCGCATGTACCAATACCGGAGCGAGGTTCAGGCAAGATTGATTTTAGAGGCCCCAGAATCCCGTCGACGTATAATAAAAAATACTTAATTTTTTTAGTTAAATTCCACCAATAGGAGGATGAATTTCCATTTTCGTTAAATTCCGCCTGCATAAGGTCGAATTTCCTTCGATTAGCATTCGTAATCTGCGCAACAGAAGTTTATGTTTGTCGAA